ACGCCTCGTCCGTCACCGGGGGCGCCCGGGCCTCGGCGGGGAAGACGGCCTCCAGGAGCACCTCCAGCTGGTCCTGGGGAAAGCAGGGTGCCGATACTGCTGCTCCCCGGAGCTAGAGGAAGAAAAGACGCCCCAAACATAAACTTTTGGCACTCCGCGCGGGTTTCCTGGAGCTGCGCTGGACCCCATCCCTGGCGCGCGGAGCGCGCCAGGGGCGGCGCCGGAGGAGCTGCCGGGGGGGGGGGGGGGGGCCAAGCGTAAATCCAAGACATCCGCGCGGAGCTCCAAAAGTTTATGTGCATGGCGTTTCTTTATCTTCGAGGAACGCTCCCAGGGTGCGTCCTGGCCAAGGTTTCGAGACGAACCCCGCCGCGGCGGCCAGGACCTCCCAGGAGGCCCACAGGAGGCGAAAACTAAGGAATGGTGGCAGTATCGGTTCTTTTTGTCCTCCTCCTCCTCCTCCTCCTCCTCCTCCTCCTCCTCCTCCTCCTCCTCCTCCTCCTCATACCTCCCTCCCTCCCTCCCTCTTTCTCCTCTGCGGTCCTGCCCCAGCCCCGCCGGCTTGCCTGTCGCCGCGTCCAGGGCGGTGAGCCGCCCCGTGTGCAGGCGGAGCTGCAGCGCGGTGTCTTCCGCCACGCGCACCACCTGCGACCACTCCTTCTCGGGGGCTGCCAGAGGTGCCCATGCCCCAAGGGTGCCCCCGGCTTTTCGCGCCGTTTTGGAACGGGCCCCCTGGGCCTCGTGAGGGGTGCGTTTCGGGGATGGACAGACCCCCCTTTAGTAAAACGTGGTTTAGTGAAAACGACCTGAGGCCCAAACCTGGCGGGCGCAAGCCTGGAAAATAACGGCCGCGGCGCCCTCTCGAGAACCGAAAACGGACAATTCACTAATCGACGTGTCACTGTTGGGGGGTCTGTCCGCCTCCGAGCGTGCGTTGGAGGCCGTGAAGGCCTCCTTGTAAATCATGGGAGGCACCCTGGGCCAGGGGCACTTCTAGCAACACCCGACCTTCAGCCACGGGTCCACGCGAGCGCCGTAGTCGCGGAAGGGCCCTGCGGCCGCGGCGGCCGCGAGCGAGGCGCCAGCCACCACGGCGGCGCCCATGGACGGCCACGGGGGGCGTGGAGAGGAGGAGCAGGAGAGGGAGTCGGGGGAGGGGCGAGCAGGAGAGGGGGGAGGAAGTGGACGGGGCGGAGGGAGAGGGCCCTAAGCCCGCCCGCGCATTGTATCACAGGAGGCGCAGCGGCCGCCACCCGAAGGGCAGCTTGTGCAGGCGCCGGGTGCGCCACGCTCGAGAGCTGCGCCGTGCGTGACAGGTGCGCCACGCGCACCAGGTGCACATACCGATACGGAAGCCAGGAAGAGGAAGAGGAGGAAAGGGAGGAGGAGGGGGAGGCGGCGGCGCATGAGGGGGAGGAGGGGGAGCTCGCCCAACACGGACCCAGGACGCCTCCAAGGTGGCCGAGGAGAGCAGCAAGACGCCCCCGAGAGGGCACAACCAATTGTCACAACCATAACGCTGTGCAGTTGTGCTTGCCTGCCCCATGTTCTGCTCCTGCAATGCCCAAGATCGCCCCAACAGGCCCCCACAGCCCATGAGATCGCCCAGTACGGCGCCAAGGTGAACCCGAAATGCCCTACTATGCTGCCCAGACAGTCCATAATCACCCACGAAGGCCACACGACCCCAAGATAACCACAGGCTACATCCCGCTGGATTTAAAAGTGGAGACCGTGGGGATCGAGGAAGACACGGTTGGCCTCCCGTTCGGCCACGGGGCCCCGGGACAATGTTGGATTCGGGGCCGAGTCGGGAATGTCAGATGCATCTCTCACCTCTTTTTCAATTTTATACCGGCCAAATGGGGTCAGCGTCTGAAGCTGTGATTCCGCCAGAGACTTCCGCGACACAATAATCAGTTCGCCTTCCAGGGCGATCTGAAAAGTTGCCGCGGCATCTGAAAGCGGCGATTTTGCGTGGGACTTCCGCAGAACAAATCAGAGCGGCGATATCGCCGCTTGAGAGCGGCGATATCGCCTGAATGTTCCTCGCAGGGTATTTTCCGACCGCTTTTCACGCCGCCAAAGAGTGGCGATTTCGTTTGGGCTGTCCTGACAACCGCGCGTCTCGTCCACCCCTGCGTCGCCGTTCCTCCGTTCGGGTCACGGCTCTGTCTGGGAGTTACTTGGGATCGATCGAAGGTCGAAGCTTGAGTTGTTTTTCCGATTGGCGAACATCCAAGGGTTGTTTCGTGCCATAATGCCGATCACCACTTTTTTGCCCAGGGGGTGGTAGGTCCCGAGGACCCTATCCTAATATTTCGATCGACGACCCGAAGGTGGCCCGAGATGCCTAAAGATGCCCCCGAGGGGCCCAAAGATGGCCCCGAAACTTGTCTAGCGTAGTCATCTCATGGCTCGGCCAGGTGGGCTGGCAACAGAGGCCGCAGCCATTCGGATCTTGAAAACAAGTTGCGGCATGTGTTTGGTTTGATGGCGCAAGCTGGCGCCCACGGGGAAGTCATCCGATCTGCCACGAGCAAGGTGCCCACCCCCCACACGGCCGCCTCTAACTCGGTTGCTGCTTGTTTCTCGAAGACTGGCACTGCCACCCCAACGGCATAGAGAGCAGAAACACCTTTTCATACAATGCCAACTGAGGCAACAAGGACATGACGTTCACGCCCGAAATCCGTTGTCGAGCTGAGCCCAACCAGAAGGGCAGGCACGCAATGACGTGCTGATGTTGGACCATCTAGGGTGCCTTGACCAATGGAAGGATACACGTCGGTCGGAAGAAGTAAGTCAACACATGAAGTAGGAAGGCGGATAAAGTGGATTGGGTCCAGGCCTTCCCAAAACAACGTACAGCAAAAGCATGCCGATTATTGAAGTAGGAAGGCGCTTCAAGTAGACTGGGATCTGGGAGTCCAGAAATACCTACTTTCAACGATCTGCGTGTACGAACGGGACGAGCTACGCAGGAAGCATGGGGCGGCGATCGTATTCGAGGACGGCACGGACCCATCGTTCATGTTTGATCACCCTTCGCCTGCCATCCCTCCGCCCCCCTGTCAGAGGCGGGCCTGCCAGAACCTGGCAGCGAACGCACAGAGCATTGGTGTGCTGGACTCGACTGCTGACGACCCGCAACCGATACCCTGGCAAAGCAAACAGACACACGGCATGGTCAAAGCGAGCGGGCGCAGGGGAAGGGTGACAGCCACGGGAGCGACGATGCCGTACGTTATGTTGGGCCAGTAAACTCGCTTGTGCCGTATATCCCGATTCAGACCCTTCCCGGGGCCAACGCAAGATCTGACACCTGGCCCTGGCAGACCCAAGGAAACCGACACAGCAGGACGGGCCAGGAGTGGGAGAGGTGTGATCCACAGGTGGCGCGAACGCGCCTTGCTTGACGATAATTACCGCCCTCCCTTCCTGGTCCACCTCCCCTCGTCTCGGGCAAGAGGAGGCGGAGGAGGAGGAGGAGGAGGAAGAGGAGGAGGAGGAGGAGATGAAGGAGGAGGAGGAGGCGGAGGTGGACGGGGAGGAGGAGGAGGAGGAGGAGGATGAGGAGGCCGCTCAGCAGCCTGGTCAAGAAAAGAGGAGGAGAATGCCAGCCCATCCATGGACCTCCGACGAATTGACGTTGCCACTCTGTGGGCCTCAGAGCTCTCGGCAACTGTTTGCTGATGGCTCTGGGACTTGGGAGTGACCCCATCACTGCCCAACCCGAAGAAAAACGCAGGGCTTTACAGCGTCCATCCGCTGGATACCTGGGTCATCCTTCTCTTCCTCCCTCTTGCTTCTCCTCCTCAACCTCCTCCTCCTTCTCTTCCTCCTCCTCCTCCCTCCTCCTCCTCCTCCTCCTCCTCCTCCTCCTCCTCCTCCTCCTTCTCCCTCGTCCTTCCCCTCCCTCTTCCCTCCTCCTCCTCTCTCCTCCTCCTCCTCTCCTCCTCCTCCTCCTCCTCCTCCTCCTCCTCCTCCTCCTCCTCCTCCTCCTCCTCCTCCTCCTCCTCCTCCTCCTACTTCAAGCCAGCCCGCGGACGTCGTCTGCGGGCCCTTTTGGTACCTTTTGTCCTCCTCCTCCTCCTCCTCCTCCTCCTCCTCCTTCTCCTCCTCCTCCTCCTCCTCCCCCTCCTCCTCCCCCTCCCCCTCCTCCCTCCTCCCTCTTTCTCCTCCTCCTCCTCCTCCTCCTCCTCATCCTTTCCTCCTCCTCCTCCTGCCTCCTGCTCCACCTCCTCCCTCCTCCCTCTCTCCTCCTCCTCCTCCTCCTCCTGCTCCTCCTCCTCCTCCTCCCCCCTCCTCCTCCCCCTCCCCCTCCTCCCTCCTCCCTCTTTCTCCTCCTCCTCCTCCTCCTCCTCCTCCCTCTCCTCCTCCTCCCTCATCCTTTCCTCCTCCTCCTCCTGCTCCTGCTCCACCTCCTCCTCCTCCTCCCCTCCTCCTCCTCCTCCTCCTCCTCCTCCTCCTCCTCCTCCTCCTCCTGCTCCTCCTCCTCCTCCTCCTTCTCCTCCTCCTCCTCCTCCTCCTCCCTCGTCCTTCCCCTCCTTCTTTCCTCCTCGTCCTCCTCCTCCGCCACCTCCACCTCCTCATCCTCCTCCTCCCTCGTCCTTTCCCTCCATCTTCCCTCCTCCTCCTCCTCCTCCTCCTCCTCCTCCTCGCCCTCCTCCTTCAAGCCGACCCGCGGACGTCGTCTGCGGGGCGTGCTGGTGAGAGTGGGATCCAGCAGTGGCGACCAGAAGGCTGCCACGGTGTCCAGAAAGACGCAAATCTGCCTCCCCGATCCTCCGTCCCTGGCAACGCCCTGGCCCCCCCCCCTTGCGGGCTGGAAAGGGCAGAGGGAGGAGGAAGCAGAGGTAGCGAGGCAAGAGAGATACTATGAGAAGGGAGAAGGAAAGGCAAACAATAACAAAAAAACATCCCCCATATGTGCACTGTCATGAAATTGCTGCGTACATCAACCCAGCATGCACACAGGCCAACCCCTTGCGGTGAGCCCGTGGCTTATCAGGCAGAAGGTGGCGACGACGGCGCAACCGGGCGCGACGATGGCGACGAAGACCTCGGCGCGCTGCTGCGCTGTGCGACGGGGAGCGGCGGCGATCCTGCTCTCGCTCCTCCTGCTGCTGTTGCTCCTCGTCGCCCTCGTCCTCCTCCAATGTGTTGGCCAGTGCCGTGGCTCTTGTGGCACGGACCGTGCCATACGCGGATTTGAGAGCCGAGCTGCTGTTCCGTGACATGATGTTCGCGGCCCCGCTCGTGCCACTCGCAGTGTCCGAGCCGTAGTGCTGTCCAGCGTCGAGGTGCTGATGCCCAGTGTGCTGCCCAGGTGCCGCCTGGATCTGTAGAACTCGCCTCGCTGTTGGTCTAACTTGTGAGTGCCCTCGTCATGGTGTTGCAAAGAGGCGTGGCGCTCGCTGCATTGCTCGCACCACTCGTAGATGTCAGAGTCGTGATGCTGTGCACGGACTCTGTGCTCGACAAGCTGCTCGCCGGAGGCTTGAGGATGAGGGTTCTGGGGGAGAGTTGAAGATGTGAAAGGGGAGACCGTATAGGGAATGAGGCGGAAAAGGGGATCGGGTAGGCCAGGCGAGCTGGAGGAACGAGGAAGTAAACAGGATGATGAGGAGGAGGAGGAGGAACAGGAAGAGGGCGAGGATGACGAGGAGAAGACCAGGCAGCGGGAAGCAAACATGGGTGGTCTCACATCCAGAACACGCGGTGGCCAACCGCTGGATACACATGCGGGTAGCTGACGTGCCGGACCACACGATGTACGAGGGCCGAGCGCTCGAAAGACGTGGGGCCAGTGCACAGGCAGCGCTGGAGGCACAGGCGGCAGCGCAAAGACTGGAAGACACCGGAGCGCGCGGCCCGAAGCGCGCCACAGCATGTCTGTGAGCACCACTAGGGGGCCACATGCGAACCCTACCCCTACCCCCCACGATTCTTGAGGGGGAGGGTGGGCTTCATTTCGCTCGGGAGCTCCCGAGCGAAGTGAACCCCACCCTCCCCCTCAGAAATCGTGGGGGGTAGGGGTAGGGTTCGCATGTGGCCCCCTACCGAAGCGCGCCGCGGCATGTCTGTGAGCACCACCGTGCCTGTGAGCACCATAGCGCGCATGGCACCGCACCATACCCTCCTCCTCCTCCTCCTCCTCCTCCTCTCCTCCTCCTCCTCCTTTCCTCCTCCTCCTCCTCCTCCTCCTCCTCCTCCTCCTCCTCCTCCTCCTCCTCCTCCTCCTCCTCCTCCTCCTCCTCCTCCTCCTCCTCTTGGGGGGGGTGCAGGACCCCCCCCCCACGTAAATTACGCGCGTTGCCGTTGCGTCGAGGCAGGGGCGACCCCCGTCACGACGGACGTTCCTAAAGGGGCCCCAGGCCACACAAATAAAGACACACGAATAAAATGATTCCCCATATTTTCCGATATTTCCCATATTTTCGCGTGGATCCCCAGGAACCCCATATAAAACTATTCCCCATATTTTCCCATATTTCCTGGGTGTCTGTCTTCCCCCCCACTTCCCATAGTGTCGCAGATTTTCCTGGGGATCGACGATTCATTGTGTCTGTGTGTTTTTTCCCCTCCTGGGTTACGGGTGCACCGCATGGAAAGAGCCGAGCATCTGCTGCAGCAGCAGCGGCCTGCAGGCAAGTGCTGGCCGCTCCTGGCAGCGGCCGTCCCCTCCGCAACGGCCCGCGGGCGATGCTACACGCCGGTACGTTCTCGGAGCAACGGCCTGCGGGCGAATGCCGCCTCCGTTCCTCTCCTTCGTGTTGGCCGCCTGTCGCCTTCCTCCCCCGCCGATGCTGTCCCTTCTTGCTCCATCCCGCCCCCTCCATGGTCGCCGCCGCCGTCGTCGCCGTCGCCTTCGTCGTCGTCTGCAGCCCGCGCGCGCAGCATAAAAGGACCTCCTGGTCCGCAAGCCCCCGGCCTGTGGGCCCTGCGCGCTCGCCTCGAACTTCGAGCTGAGGTCCCCAGCCCCCTTCTGGCCGGTCTCGCTTGTCCATCCCAGGCTGCACCCTGGCCTCCTGGGCCAAGTCCTACGGAGGGACGCCTCCAGCCAGGTGGCGGAGGCCCAGAGGCCCTGCGGCGTAATGGCCTACGGCGCGGGATGCCGCCCAACGGGGAACAACGACACGCGACCTGATCAACCACTGGCTGCGTCTTCCCTCATCATATCCTCATATCCTGTCTCCCTGCCTCTTCCCTTCCTTATCCTCCTACTCATCATCATCATCATCATCATCATCATCATCATCATCATCATCATCACCATCATCATCATCAGCATCATCAGCATCGTCAGCATCATCATCACCACCACCATCATCACCATCACAATCATAAACACCTCAACATGAACATCATCGTCATCACATATTCTATAAGCATGACCACCGCCATCACCATCACCATCACGACCGCCATCATCGTCACAGTCATAGTAACCAGCATCATGAACATCAGAGTCGTCACAACATCTATCATCATAATCATCACCATCATCACCATCATCATCCTCATCCTCCTCATAATCCTGCTGCCCCTCCTCAGCAGTCCTGTCCTCCCCTCCTCGCCGTTGTCATCATCTATCTCTCTTTCTGCTCAAGAGCTCCATGTCGCGCCCCCCCCCGATGTGTTGGCAAAGCGGGCCAAGCCTTTCGCTTCAAACGTCATCACCATTTATGCTTCTGGAGCTTGAAAGTTGCGCTAGCTTCACGGATGGAGGGCGTTTCGTTTTCAACATGTGGCTCTCGCTTGAGCGCCACGCACATTCGCGTGAAAAGGTCGTCATAGCTTCACATAAAGAAGGCAGGTGGTTTACAGCATGCGGTTTTCGCCGCAGCGCCGCGCACATTCATCTTCAGAAGATTGCGACTATGTCAAAGATGGAGGGCAGGTGGTTTTCAACATGTGGCCATTGCATTAGAGGGAGGGTTCAGCGTCGTTGATGCGTCTCGGGTTAGCACTGGTCTTCATCCTCCTCCTCTTGTTTCTCTTGCTTCAGCCTCATCTCCTCCTCCCACCTTCTCTCACCCCCTCCTCTCACCTCCTCCTCCTCCTCCTTCCCGTCATCATCAACACCATCATCACTATCACCATCACCATCACCGTCATCATAGCCATCACCATCACCATCATCGTCATCATCCGCATCATCATGAGAATCGTCGCCATCATGATCGTCACCACCATCCACCATCGAAAATCACCATCATCGACATCATAATCAGCATCATCATCACTATCACCATCACCCTCACCATCACGATCATCATCACCATCATCATCATCACCATCATGATCCACAGCACCATCAGCATCACCATCGCCGACAACACCATCAGCATCAGCATCATCATATTCATCATCGTCATCATCATCAACAGCATCATCATCGTTATCACCATCGTCCCCATTAACTTCATCGCAAGCATGATGATGATCGTCACCATCATCACTAACATCAACATGAATCATGATTGGCATCGCCATCATGATGACCAACACCATCCGCCATCCAAAATCAGTATCATCACCATCACCATCATCACCATCATGAGCATCATCATTATAATCGTGTTCGCAATCAACATCATCATGATGTGCATCACCCTCCCCATCACCATTAGCATCATCATCGTCCTCCTCCTCCTCATCAGCATCATCATCATCACTATAATCATCCTCGTCATCAAAGACATCGCCATCACCGTTACCGTCACCATCCTGAGCATCATCATCACCATCACCATCATCATCGTCATCATCAACGTCGTCACCATCATTAGCATCATCAGCATCAGCATCATCAGCATCATCATCAGCATCATCATCACCATCATCACCATCAACAACAGCTTCCTCATCAGAATGATCGTCATCATCATGAGCATCGTCATCACCCTCCCTCAGCCTCCTGGTTAGTCCTTCTCCCCCCTTCACCCCTCACCCTGCCTCCTCCTCCTCCTCCTCCTCCTCCTCTCCATGCTTATCTGCCTCCTGCCCCTGCGCTCTCTTTCTCCCTCCTCCTCCTCCCCCTCCTCCTCACAAACCCCCCGATCTCTTCGCGCCCCTTCCCGGGGGTGGCCCCATTTTAGGGCCGCCGCCATGGCGGCGTAGTAGATCACGATCACCTCCCCGCCGCTCCGCTCCGAGGAGGCGCCCGGCGGCCAGGCGGGGGAGAGAGGGGGGGGGAGGGAATGTGGAGGGAGGGGGGAGGGAGAAAAGGCTGGAAGAAGAGGCGGAGGAGGAGGAAGCGGAAGGAGGGGAGGGGACGGGGGCGAGAGGAGGAGAGGAGGCGGCGGAGGAGGAGGAGGAGGAGGAGAACGAGGAGGAGGGAGGCAGAGAAGGATCAGGAAGGAGAGAGAGATGATGGCCCCTCTCGGCCTGTCGGAATTAGGTGCCAATTGTGGTTCTCATCACGCCTCCCCTCCCCTCAGCGGGCGCACTGGCCACCCTGACTTTGGCTCCCCGGGCGCCAGACGAACGGAATGGGGGGGAGGGGATGGGGGAGACGAGGGGGCGTGGATGAGAAGGGGAGGGGGACGAGGGAGGGAGAGAGAGAGGGGTGCGGGACGGATGGTGGGACACACAGACACACACATACACGTGTGTGTGTGCACACATGTGATATACATACATAGATGTTTGCCATAAGAGAAAGGAAGAGAGAGAGAGAGAGGGAAAGAGAGAAAAACATATATGAGGGACAACTACAGACTGAGAGATAATAATCTACAGAGAGAGAGAGAGAGATACATAAACAAAAAAAGAAAGGAAACAATCACAAGAGAGAGCGAGAGAGACATCTGAAATGGAATATCAGGGATGAAAAAAAAGGGACGCGACTTATTTTGCTGAGCCTCCCATCCCATCCTCCCCCTTCCCCCTCAACCTGCCCCTCCCTCTCTCTTCCCTCTCCTCCTCCCCCATCCGCTTTGTCCTTCTCCTCCTCCTCCACTTCCCCCTCCGCCTCATTGTCCTCGTCCTCGTCCTCAGCCTCCTCCTCGCCCTGCTCTTCCTCCTCCTCCTCCTCCTCCTCCTCCTCCTCCTCCCAGGCCCTCCACTTCTGCCACCCACTCCTCCTCCTTCTGCTCCTCCTCCTCCTCCTTTTCCTCCTCTCCTGTCCCTCGTCCCCACAATCGGCCCCAACTCACCACCCCGCTGGCGGGGTGGAGCACTTTCTCAGGCTTTGCGGTGCGCAAGTGGGGGGTAGGGCCAGGAGACGGTCTCCAAAAGGTGTCCTCCCACCGCCGGTGCGGAGCGCATGTCTTCCTGCCGCTAGACTGAGCTCTCCAATTCCGCGCCTGCGCGCGCGCGCGCGCCCCCCCTCACCTGCACGGCGAGCTTCAGGTCATTACTGCACCTGGCTACCCAGAGCGAGGGCGAGGGGCTCGATGGAAACGGGACGGAGAGGGACTGATGGATCGGCAGCGGACAAGGGGGGGGGGACGGGAGGAGGAAGAGGCCCTTGCAGAAAAAGGCGGGGCTTCCCAGAGGCCCCCCTGGCCTTCTGAGAAGTCGTTATGTTGCGTATGCGGGGGATGCGGGGGGCTTCCGAGCCTTCCGAGAAGCCCGTCCCTCCTCACTTCACCCCTGGGCGCGCCGCCGATTGGAGGGAGGCCCCTCCTCCTCCTCCTCCGGCGGGCAAGGGCCTGCCCAGAGCGCTCTGACTGAGACCCGGCGCACACCCCACCCGCTGCCCCTCAGGTGGGGCAGGCCTCCCGGCCTCCCGGAAGAGACACGCGAGAGGCTGCCACTCCAAGCAGAAGGGGCTGCGCTGGCCACCAGGGCCCACCGACTGCCCGTGGTCGGCACGGCCACGGTGACCGCAAAGACGGCGGCGGGAGAACAGCCGTGGGACAATGAAATTCGGGATCGTAATAAGAGGGCTGCCCCGGCAACTCGCACGTGGGATGTATGACGAGAAAAACGAAGTCGTCGTCGTCGTCATCGTCGTCGCACGGGGCTGACGACGACGACCACCCAGCACTGCCGCACATTCGTGATTTCGGAAAGCTGCAATGGTG